TGTGTGCAGCCGCCGGTGCTTGGCAAGGGTGGAGCTGTGGCTGAAGCACTGCCCGCAGTCGGCACAGGTGTAGGGGCGCTCCCCTGTGTGCAGCCGCCGGTGCTTGGCAAGGGTGGAGCTGTGGCTGAAGCACTCCCCGCATTCCCCACACTGGTAGGGACGCTCCCCTGTGTGCGTGCGCTGGTGGGTCAGCAGGTTGGAACTGCGACCAAAGCTCTTCCCACACTCAGGGCACTTGTAGGGGCGCTCCCCAGTGTGGACTCGCCAGTGCCAGGCCAGCCCTGAGCTGACACTGAAGCCCTTTCCACACTGGTGGCAGCGGTGGGGTTTTTCGCCTGTGTGAATTCTCTGGTGGGTAATGAGGTCTGAACTCTGGGTGAAGCCCTTCCCGCAGTCAGAACATTTGTAAGGCCTCTGCCCTGTGTGGACCCGCTGGTGCTGAAGGAGGTGGGAACTCCAGCTGAACGCCTTCCCGCAGTCAGAACATTTGTAAGGCCTCTGCCCTGTGTGGACCCGCTGGTGCTGAAGGAGGTGGGAACTCCAGCTGAACGCCTTCCCGCAGTCAGGGCAGCAATGGGGTTTCTGCCGCAGCTGGGTTCTTTCCTGGGCCCTATGTTCTGAGCTCCCACTGGGGCCTCTCCCTGGCTCAGCCCATGTGGCTGGATCCTCCCCTTGCTGGGTGCCATCCTGGACATTTAAACTTCCCCTGACAGCATCAGGATCGCCGTCTGCCTGCTCTTCCAACCCACTGCGATGCTCACGAGCGTCTCCCTGCCCAGGACTCTGGTGTTCATCAGCTTCAGAGATTCCTGAGGCGGTCCCATCCGGATCCATTGTCTCATCACCTCCCTGCTGCCGATTCCTCCTCATCCTCGCTCTTAAATCTCAGCTCCTGCTGGGATGAGAAAGAATCTGGATGTGAGTCAATCCCTCCGCTGGGCAATGGTGGGGGACACAAAGGAGATCCTCGGAATGGGGAATGGCCAAGGCGGTGAAATGAATCATTGTTGGATCGATCAAATAATCTCCTGCTGGAAACCCCTCAAGTGGCCAGGGGCGGGGGAGAGAGGACGACCACGCCCCCTCCAAACACCCAGGGGAAAGGCAGCTGAGCGGGGGGGCAGCTGCCAGACTTCCAGTGATGCCTGCCACAGTTGCTGGGTACAGTCCCAGCCTGGCTGAGATGGGGGCAGAGCTGGGGAAGTTCACGGCAGCTCTGTGGGATCCCAGCTGTTTCACGGCACTCACAAATACTTTGAGCTGGTTTCATTTTTTGTACCTCTCCTCTGTGCTGCTGTCTCTAGGGAAATAGATATCTAGGCCTGAAAGCTCATTGTACCCTTCCAGCCTGGCCTCCTATCTCCCCCAGCCATTCCTGCCTCTGGCCCAGTGACTCCTGACTTTGAGAAAGAGATGCCGCATCTCCGTTTTAACAGACTTCCAGTGATGGAGAATCCACCCCGTGCCCAGACCCTAGAAATCCAGGACACGTAGCTCTTCCCTTCCCTCTATCTGGGGAACCACGTCAGATTTGCTGTTGGGAATCCTACTCAGCGTGAGGGAAAGAATCAAGGTGAGTTCAGGGCTTGTTATGTGTTTCAGGGAATGTGCCAGGGACATGGAATCAAACATGGGGAGCTAGAGGCCGGCTGGGGCTGGGTACGCGCCCTGTGGGAGGTACAGCTCAGCCAGGAGTTACTGGGCGAAATTCTATGGCTTGAGTTAGGCAGGAGGCCTGACAGTATGGGCACAATGGGTCCTGTTGGCCTTGAAATCTATGAAATCTGTGCTGTTCTGCAGACCCCAACAGTCTGTCCAACGGACGGAGCTAATGGAGGGAGCCCTGGGAATGGCAGGAAACTATCATCTCTGCCTGTGTGAGTGTGGGTGGGGGAATGCCTGAGGGCGTCTTTATAAGTTTGTATGTCAGACAGTGCACGTGTATGACTCGTGCGTCTGCGTGAATGTGTCAGCGTACGTATGTGTGCGTGAGCATGTGTGCATCACAGTGCATGTGAGTGTGCTAAGGTCCATCAGCGTCTTGTCCCGTGTCGATGTTACAGCAGCGAGTGGGTCAGAACGTGTCTGCATGTCAGTGTGAGTGTGTGTATGTGTCCTTGTGTGAGCGTGTCTGTGCGGAGTGTCAGCGTGTGCATGTGTGTCAGGGGTGGCGAAATGCCAGGGGAGATGGTGGTAGCAGATTCCCTCTCTCCACTTGTTTCTCCCCTTTCAGTCTCTCTCTCCCTGCCCCTCCCCAGGGCCATGAGCTCTGCCTCCCTCGGGCAGCCGCTCTGGGGTCTCACAGAGTCAGGCACTCTGCACAGAGCCCCATCCCCGGCTCTCTCTATCACCTGGTCTCAGGAGCTAATGTTGGCAGGGCCCTGGGGGCTAAGTGCAG